GCACCGGACGGTCAGCTCTACCCTCGAGAGCCTAAAAAGCGAGCTCTGGTCGACCGGTGCCTCAACATCGACATGGGTTTGGGCCCACAAATTGGCGAACTTATGGTAAACCACTCATTCATCCACTTCTTAATGACAATCACTATAAGTATTATTGAATTGATATGAATAGAGGACTAAAATGTTCGCCGGAGTGGATCCGCCACAAGATGTGGTGACAAACCTGAAGAATAATCTCAAGGTTTTGGATTTAATAATTGGTGCAAATCATTACGTGACGGGCGATGAGTTGACAATTGCTGACCTGTCACTGTTAGCCACCGGCACATACATGGATTGGTTGGAACTGGATGTAAGCGAATTTGCCAATTATAAGCGCTGGTACACCACTGTCCACAAGGAATTGCCGTATTTCCATCAAATCAATACCTTCTCGAAGGAGGAAAGGGAGGCTATGGTTGCGAAGGGTAGAGCCACATATACCCCTAAAAAATAAACTTTTAATATACATTGTATCAAGTGAAGTCCAGATATTAAATGTAATACTGTATTATATATGAATTTTTGCTTTAAAATTTAAATTAAATATATTGTATTATGCATGATACGTTATTATAAAATAAAATAATATAATATAATTATCAAATGAATTAATATTATTTGTGTTTCGAGAATTATAATGATATTTAAATATTCTGACATTTTATTTACAATTGTAAAAACAATTTTACTAATTTTATTGCAATCAGTTAATGTTATTTACTGTATATAAAAAATAAATAAAATGCTTTCAAAGCAAAATAGGAAATTAAACAATTTATTATTCAAGAATAGTCCACAATAACAATTTATTTAAAAATATAGTGAAAAATATTTGTTATTCTGTAAACTTTTAAATAAAATTATCTCAAAATGAAGTCACATTTCTATCCATTTTCATTAATACTACTCTTAATGGGTTACGATATCTCCATCACAAACACCAATCAAATGTGTTTCAAAACAGTGTTCATGTATTTTAATAAACTAGCAATTTGTTTGGCAATTGTTTACAGCTATTGGATGGTTATACAAGATGTATTACGATTCATTGCTTTATATGAAAGTCTATTTATCATAGCATTTCTCATTAAAATGTTCATTTTGTCAATTAGTTTAATATATTTTGAATTAAATGTATCTAAAATCCGTACACTTTTTGCCAATATAACTGAAAGTATAATAACTGAAAATGAATCAAACAAAATGAAAAAATGCTCTCAAATATTAACTACTATTTGGTTTATATTTTTCATATTATGTACTTGTTATATTGGATACGATATCTATTATGGTTTATATCTAAGTTTAATCCGGGCTATTATATGGATTATATATTTATTTGGTTGGATAGTAGCCATACCCCTATTGTTAATACACACCTGTTATGCCGTATATCTCATGGAAAAGCAACTATTAATTAGAGATTCATTTGATGCTAATTATGAGGAATTAAAACAGAAATTAATAACAATTCAAAGACATAGAGATTCAATTAATAAGATTTTCGGTATATTTCCATTTCTAATGTTTTGTGAACTATTTTCATCGACATGTTTGCGATTAACGCAGATTTGTTTAACAAAAAACTATCGCCCTATAATCATCAAGGGAACACTTGATTAAATAAGATTTTCGGTATATTTCCATTTCTAATGTTTTGTGAACTATTTTCATCGACATGTTTGCGATTAACGCAGATTTGTTTAACAAAAAACTATCGCCCTATAATCATCAAGGGAACACTTGATTATGTGTTGAATTGCATTATAGATATGATATATTTATTGATCATTAATTACTTTCAAACTCATAGACCGACTTTTAATGAGTTGCATGAATGTTATGGT